GGCCGCGGCCTCCCCTGCTCGCGGTGTGACCCCGGCGTCCCGGCCCGCGGCCCCGCGGATCCCGGCGCCCGCGCTCCCAGGGGCAGGGATGCATCATGGCCACGCTGGCTTGCCGGGTGCAGTTCTTGGACGACACGGACCCTTTCAACAGCACCAACTTCCCCGAGCCCAGCCGGCCGCCGCTGTTCACGTTTCGCGAGGACCTCGCTCTCGGCACCCAGCTGGCTGGGGTCCACCGGCTGCTGCGGGCGCCGCACAAGGTACGGTCGACCGGTCCGGGCTGGGTTCCCTGGACGCAGCCCCTGCTGCGGGGCGCGCGGGGGGTGGGGGCGCCGCGGGCAGGCTGGGGTAGGCGCGGCCCCCCGGACAGGCGCCCAAGGGCAGACCTCCCCCCTCCCCGTTAGGCAGAGGGGCCCCGGGCATCCGCCGGCTGGCGCGGGATCTCCCCGGCGTGAGACGAGGACAGCCCCGCGCTCCGGCCCAGAGCGGGCGGGGCCGAGCAGGTGCCGCGCCGGCCGGAGGCGGGATGGAGAAGGTTCCCCGGCGCCGTGCCGTTAGCTCGGCTGGGTGGGCGGGGTGGAGCTCGGATGCCGGGGGTCGGCCCTTGTACCTGGGCCGACGCTGAGCGGGGCGCGGAAAGAACCCGGGCCCCGGGGACTCAGGTCTAAACCTTTCAGGCCTCTGGGGCCGCTGCGGGCGGCCGCGCGACCCTCGCGACAAAGCACGCTTCCCCGGGGATACCTCCTCCTCCTTCCCCGCGGGGCATCGCCGGGGACGCCGACTGCGCACTGAGATAGCGCTCCGAGTAGTCCCTTTTTCTCGGGAGAAGCAGGTGGCCTTGGGAACCTTGGAGGAGCAGTCGCTGTGGGAGGAGGGGCGGGGGCGCGGAGGGGCGGCGCGCGCACAAAGCCTGAGCCTCGCAGCCCGAAATGAGTGTCCCCTGGGAAGAATGGCTTCTCAGTCCACCCGATAGAGGCTTTTTTTCTTCTTTTCTTCTTCTTCTTTTTTAACCCTTTGCAGGAGGACAGGCATCTTGCAAAGTGTGTGTTGCAAAGAGCTGGGCATTGAAAGCTAACCATTTAGTTATCCAAGAGAGCCCTTCCTCCTACTTAAACAGATTGCACCTTGAAGAATTACTTCCCAGCACATTTTTTGCGTAGGGTTCATATCAAAGCTTGGAGATGATTTATTCCTTGAAGAGCAACATTGATAAATATTTGGAAGAGATAACCCTTGATACCAAAAAGAACAAAATTGATTTTTCAAAATTCTTTAGATTTCTGTATGATGTTCACCTGCCTTGGAAGAGAGGGAGGTTGTATGTGGAAACTGGTGAACTTTGGCGGTGCTGTTTTTCTCCCTCTATTCGTGGTGTATCCCTGCTTTCCCTCCCTACTTAATTAGTAACCTGTTTTCAGGAATGAGGAATGGGGCAGTTCTACCTCATTCTCTCCATGTTGGTGCAGAATGGATGAGTCACTGTTTGGGGGAATCTCTCTGGTCATGAAAGCAGGTTGGATTGGGAGATGGAGGGACAGAATGATGTATTGTGAATTCACTTTATCAGCATCACTTTTGTAAATTATTTGGGTATTCTTAATCAGTAGATTGAGTTAAAAGTTTTCGAAGGGCTTTTTTGGCATCATGATATTCCATTCATTATGATCTCTGATTACAGTGATCTTTTGTTGAAACCACAGAAGGCTCATAATTGTGGCCCTATGACCTTGAAGTGGTTTTCTTGGATTTCAAACCCTATATACATAGGTTGACCTTTCAAGCTGGAAGCTGAAGTACATTTTTATGTTTCCCTGGAATAGCCCCATAGTCTTGATCCAGTGTCCCTGGGCTGTTCTGGCAGGAGGAAATCCTGATGCTCCAGCGTTGGCTTCCTGCACCACCACCCCCTCCCGCCTCCAGAAGCCACAGCACTGAAACTGCACTGGCTCACAGAACTTTCTGAGGTGTCCTCTGGTCCTTCGTAGAATAAGCAGAATCAGAAGGTATCCCATAGAACCCCTTGACTCCCTGTCTTGGCAGCCAGCCAGCCTTAGTCTCAGCGTCTTTTGCCCAAAGACCCCTGCAGTATATTCAGATGTTTGGCATTTTTTTCACATCTAGAGCTGAGTGATTGGCTGATTCTATTAGCCAGGGTTCTGTAAAACAGAACTTAGGGTGTTTATGTGCCTAGGTGCACAGTCATGTTTTAAAATGCTTATTAGTTTCCAGCAGGGAATCTTAAAATCGGATGATCCCCCTGTGATGGAAAGAGCGAACGAGTTTTGATCACTTGGCATCTCGGTATACACCCTATATCACACCACCGGGGATGTGAGTGCACGGTCTCATTGAGTACCGCATACCTCCATGAAGTGGATACTTTTAGGATTCCTATTTTGCAGGTGAGGAAACTGAGGCCAAGGGCACTGAAGTCACCTAGTTTCTCTGCTAGGAGTAGAGAGCTGAGATTCAAGCCAGGCCTGTGTGTCTTGAGCCCCCAGGGCTCCTCTGCTCCCTGGACCAGCTGTGTGGCTGTGGGCAGAAGCAGCACCTCCTGGGGGGTTCCGTCCCATTAACTTGGGGAGCTTACCAAATCGCCCTTGTATGCCAGATACTTTTTGGCCTGGGGCAGGTGAATGTTACAAGCATGAGTAAGAGCCTTGAGGCAGAATTCCTGGTCTGGTAGAGTTCACCTGAGGGGTGGGAACAGATAGTTACCAACCCCGCTGTGAATTAGGGGATGGTGAGGGAGGGGGCAGGCTGTCACTCCAGGCCCCTGCCTTGAGTAAGGCTCCCCATACCACAGGGAACGCTTCTCCCAGGTCGAGCCTGGCCTTGGCAAGATGGGGAGTTTCTTGGGGGAGGGCGATCTGTGTGATGGACAGGACGGAGAAGCGTGACCATGGAACATGCAAACACCCTCGGTATACCCAGCCGTCCGGCACATGCAACTCCCCGGGGGAGTAAACGTTTGTTGCTTGAAGTAGATCACACAGACAGAAAGGTGTGCCGGACATAAGGGAGCAGCTGGGGTCATGGTCACCACGTGAACACACCTGTGTAACCGGCATCTACAAGGCCCTGCGGAGGGTTCTCATTTGTACAGCCCCCCTCCTAGGATTTTCCTGTGTTGGGAACCTGTGAATTGGATAATCTCTCAGGCCCTTCCCAGCCCAAACTGGAGTCTGTGCATCTTTTCTTTCTTTTAAAGATTTTATTTATTTTTTTGGGAGCGTGAGTGAGAGAGAGAGCATGAGAGGTGGGGAGTAGCAGAGGGAGGGAGAGGGAGAAGCAGGCTCCCTGCTGAGCAGGGAGTCCCATGTGGGGCTCCATCCCAGGACCCTGGGATCATGACCTGAGCCGAAGGCAGACGCTTAACCGACTGAGCCACCCAGGCACCCCGTGTGCATCTTTTCTTAACTTAATGACATATTAATTTAGATCATGTCTGCTGACTCTTTTAGAAGTTAGTTGTTCATTTAACTAGTATCATCTTGGACAAAAACGATATATTATGCTTATTATGTTTTATCTTTGTTTTTTTCTCAAGCTGCTAGTAGTTCCAGGGAAGATAATTAAATTAATGATGGGTTTGATAACAAAAAGATCAAAACAGATGCTGTATTCTCACTGGGGAGCTGTTCATTTTGGTGGTTATGTGTTCTATCTGGCCTGTGTATGTAAGGCCTTTTGTTCTCAAATGTTGCATAAATAGGTGTTTGTTTCTGGTTTAGTGTTTTAAAGAATTATAATTCTAGGACTTCTAATTTAGAAAAATCTATACAGTAGAATTAGTAAATCATAGGCCTTTCAAAATTTACATGTGTTTGGATTGATTGATACAAAAGGCTAAGGATTTTTGTTTCCTTTTGATAGCCAAAAGTGGAATTGGAGAATATTTTTACAAAAAAGTGATAACTAGCCTACCTGTTAAAATGGCAATGAAGACAGTAATTCAGTTCAGGAGATATTTCGGTGCCTTTTGTGGACTAGACAGCGTGGAGTGATAATAGTGACTGTGTTCTAAGCACTTGCCTGAGACGAGGAGCATCCTAGACGTGCATCATCTCACCAAGCCCATGAATCAGGTACTGGTACTGTTGTATGTCATAGCAGAAGAGACCCAGAGCAGATGGAATTCCCCTGGTCACATGAGTGGGGAGTTCCAGAGGTGGCATTTGACACCAGGTCTGAGCTCTTAATGACTCCACTTTTATGTCTTGGATGTCTTCCTTCCAGGCAGCCCATCCATTTGCCAGAGTTCTTTCCCAACATGCTTTGGTGATTCCTGTGCACAAATACAGTCGAAGCAGCATGGATTAGAGGTCATTTAGGTCAGGCTCTCAGTACGTGGGGCTCTGACTGTCTCCCCTGTTGCAGATAAATTCCTTGAGGGAAAAGACCTGGCTGTTCAGTTCTCCCATGTTTTTCTTGCAGCAGACTAGTGCTAAGATGGAGTGTGCCCTAAGTTGATTGATCGGTGTTAGTTATAGAACACAAATCCACTGGTATTATTGCTGTAATGAATTTCTACCTTAATCCTCTTAAGGGACACATCTGTTTGCTACATTAAGATTTTTAAAAGATGAGATCACTGGTAAAGTTGGCAAGTGTGTTGTGTCACAGAGCATCTTAGGACAAAACTGTTTAAGAATGTTGTATGAACTGCTAAGAGCATCTCTGTGCAAGCCGGGTTGAATCTGACTCTACCGTAATTAGCTCAGTTGGTTGGAGCCGGGCTATTGAGATCAGGATCATGGGATTGAACTCTTTATGGGTCAGTTGGCTTTGCTTCATGCATGGCCACAGACAGCATCGGTAACCCAGCCAGACGTCCCGCAGGTGCTGTCATGGCTCCCTGCAAGGGTCTGGGTTGGAAGGGACTGGCAGAAATCTTTAGGGGGGAAAGGAGACATATAATGGGAGCGCGCTGGGCACTACATGGTAGGCCTCCACGCATAACTCCATTCATCCTCATAACAGCTCTAGCAGGTGGACAATAGTATCCCCAGGTAACAGATGGGGAAACTGAGGCATGGGGAGACTAAGCAGGTTATCTAAGGCCACACTGCTTTTAAGTGAAGGAGCTGAGATTTAAGGTCAAGTGTTTTTTTTTTACTCCAAAGCCTGTAGCCAACTGTGTCCCATTATTAGAAAGCCAGCAGAGCACATGCTCTCTGTGCAGGGGGAAGCGCAGGTGGGGGAGGGTGGCCGACTGCACTGCCTTCACACGCGGCTGCCTGTCACAGGGCTGTGACTT